TCAGAGTTCATTCAAAAAGTGCACAAAGAGGAATATAACGAGACAGGGGACACGTCATCAATAGCGAGTGTGACCACTCTGGACATCCATACATGCCAACACACGTCTCCTCATTGACGTCGTCGGGGCGGTGGGGTAGCCTAGTGGTTAAAGCGTTGGCTCGTCACGCCGAAGACCCGGGTTCGAATCCCCACATGGGTACATTGTGTGAAGCCCATTTCTGGTGTTCCCCGCCGTGATGTTGCTGGAATATTGCTAAAAGCGGCGTAAAACCAACCTCAGTTAGTCAGTCAGTCATTGACTTCGTCAGTCGGCGGATGACGTCAGCAGGAATCCTGTTCCATAAGTCCAAGAGAGTCTGCTCAAGTTCCCGTCGGTTCGGTGTAGATGGTACACGCTGTCTCAGCTGACGGTCAAGATGATCCCAGAGATGTCCATGTCTGGAGAACGCGCTGGCCAAGGCAATACGTTGACGTTAACGTTGCGCAGGTATTCTCGAACAATTCTGGAGATGTGAGGCTCCTCTTGGCTGTTGTCGAATAAAGGCACCACACAAGGTCAAACCACTTCATCCCGACTGAAACAATGTTCACCTGTAAAGTGCACTCTCTGTTGCCACCGACGTTCAGTTCGTGCTCATTGCAGTCTGCGTTGACGGTGTAGACGGGTCAAGGCCATTCCACGGAAGGGACGGAAGGCTCGTATACCAGCCATTCCAAGTCGAAGGATTGTTCGTCTGTTGATGGCATATCCTATTGCCGTCGCCGCCGTTGAGGTAGCCGTCACGAATCTTTTCTGGAGGGGGACCTACTGGATTTAGCGGTCCTCTGCCGGTTTCATAACTCTTGGCCTTTTTGCTGGTAGCGGTTTACCAAATTGCCTGGCTGCAGATGAAGGGTCTAGCCCGTTGACCTTGTGAAGCCCCCATATTGGCCACACCGATCGTGCTGTCTCGTTGCGATTGCGTAAGTCTTGACGTATTCGTGGTGGTCTATGGTTACTGCATGCTTGCTCTGTCCAACATCGGTATTTTTGCCACAATCATGCACGTGCATTTTATGTCCCACAACTACGTTTTTTACGTTTCGTGTGAAGTTTTTGGGCGAATATTTTCTGGTTGGGTTCAATCCTGTGTCAGCATTTCGGTTTGTTACGTAGGCGAATCCAGGGGCTGGTGTGTGTGTGTGTGTGTGTGTGTGTGTGTGTGTGTGTGTGTGTGTGTGTGTGTGTGCAGGGGTGGGCACCCGCCTTTTTGTCCTGAAAGTTTATTAAATGACCCATGAAAACGGGTGAAAATGAAGTGTGCACCCCTCCTTTTCTCTAGAGTGTGCACCCCCCACCCCCTTTCTTAAAAAGCTGTATCCTCCCCTGTGTTATACAATTACTTTAAAAGTGATAACTTTCTTTTGCCCGGTAGTTTATTACCACAATCACGAGCCTAACTGGTCCGAGCGTGGAACCCTTAAACCTCCAGTGGACTAAAGTGTATTACAAATTCAAAGTAGGCGGATCTTATGTGACCACGTGACAGCTGTTTCAGGCAGTGCTTCTCATCCGGACTCGAAAGTGCATCTTATTTCTATCTAGTGCTAACAGCATACGACATAAACTTAAACTCAACGTAGTGTAAAACAGACGTTCAGACAAGGGTTAAAGAGACTTGTGAGATGGCGGAAATAACGGGTGTTGGTGTATACGTGGGTGGGTGTGCGCGGGCACCTCCATCATCCCTCTCTGGACCCATCAGTCCGGATTGTGGATTGTCTGTCTTTACACTAAAGGATGGACAGACAGACAGACAGACAGACGGACGGACAGAACGACAAATAGGCATGTTGTATTCTACACAGACAACACAACTAAATCCACTTCTTATTTCCCGACAACGATGTCATTGTGAATTGAATTATTCCGAAACAGACGCAAACAATAACCCTGGATATTTTCGCCCTGATTAAATTGCTGATGTATTTCGATCCCCCGCCTCTGAAACCCAGTCTAAATATAGGTAGATACCTCCATCAAGATGCCAGGCAATCATAGTCTGGACGCACACCGACGCACTTTATGTTTGACAACACCGAACATGCCCCGTTTTAAGACGGAGGCGCTATTTCACGTCCTAGTAGAGATTCGTCTGACACTGATGTCGAGACAAGTCCGATCCTGCTTCTCCAACCAAGCCCGTTGATTCAATAATTATCCCCCCTCCGTTAACCTACTTTAAGTTACTGTTTTAACCCTTTGAACACTTTTGGGCAGGGCAGCTTTATTGCAGTGATAGCACACATTGGCAAATATTTTGGGAAACTATCAAATCGGTAATGTCTCGTGGGGTTATTTTGGTGTTTTTATTACTGTGTATAGTGCGTTGATTTAATTTAACTTATTAACAGCGTAGTGCAAAAAAGCCTTTTTGTATTCGACTCAAGTTTGTAGCTGGAAAATTCAATATCAAGACACGGAATCGTAACTCCGGAAATAAACCCCGCTCGATAACTTAACTGCACCAGAGGTTGACAGTACATGAAAAAGGTTCCACGATGTGGTAACGTATTGGAATGTTGTGCAAAGTGTGGAACTGGTCGGGAACACGGAAGTATGTAGCACATGTGGCGTCACCATAGCCATTTGACCCTGTTCAAAATACACCGTTCACCCAGCAGTGAATGGGTACCCGGTAGGATGAGATGGCAACCTGACTGTTGAACTCTGCAGGCTGGATGTTGGTATACTCCCCAGGGAGAAGCAAATGCACACTAATAGGTTGACCGGGGTGATGATAATGTTGTTGCACCATGAGCCTTCAACTGACATTAATATAGGGTGGCGAGTCGGGTTTGAGTGAGTGAGTGAGTGAGTGAGTTTTGTTTTACGCCGCCTATATTCCAGCAATATCATGGCGGGGGGACACCAGAAATGGTCTTCAAGCATTGTACCCTCGTGGGGACTCGAACCCGAGTCTTCGGCGTGACGAACGAACGCTGTATCCACTAGGTTACCCCACCACCCCTGTCGGGTTTGAGATCTCGTTATGGCAGTGATAACTTGATGTGGGATAACACCAGAAGTGGTGTAGGGCTTGACCTCTGTTGAAACCCACAAACACAGACACGATGCTGACAGACCTAAATAGGAGATCCGGGCAGAAAGGGGATTCGAACACTCGATCATAGGTTTCTGGCTCAGGAACCGATCGAGCAAGTTGAAACCTTGGATCCAAACCCAGAATTGGTCGATCCTGACAACTGAGCCACCCACTTCAGAAATTTGTAGCAGCGACATAGTCCACAGGGCCACCTCGGTGAGCCTTATGTCGTGAAGCGTCAGTGTATTTTCCGTTTCAATTAAGCCATAATGTGAAATATATATGAAACTCACATCCGGGTTCGATTCCCCACATGGGTACAATGTGTGAAGACCATTTCTGGTGTCCTCCGCCGTGATATTGCTGGAAATATTTCTAAAAGCAGCGTAAAATCAAACTCACTCACTTACACGATGAAACGCATTACATCACTAATCTGTCACTGGTTTGTCTGGTCCAAAGTATGGCTTGGTGGGGGTCAGGCAACACACAAGTTACTCGGCGTGTTATGAAAGCATTGAATGGTTGGTGCCACTGGCAGAGCAAGATACCCTTTTCGTAAATTCTTCATCACTGATTTGAACTGATTTTCTATTCATCTAATTTTCTCCGCTATTTTGCCTTTAAAGCCCATGTGAAACTGTTCCGGCAGATACTCGAGATTGGTCATACTATAGCGCTGACATTTTGAATAGTCATGATAAAAACCTCTGTCCACATTTTCTACGCTTTATATTTTTTAGTTGGTTTATGAGACCTACTGACCAATATATCCATGAAATGTTGGTCGACGTTTTATTCGGTGAGTGTACATATATCTAGTGATGAAAGAGATACTCTGGGTGATATGGTATATCCAACTCCAATCTCAGTCTCATCTTAGTATCACTTTCTTAAGTTATCTATAATGCCCCCTCCTACGCACTCTATGCCGATAGTGTTACGGATTAAAGAACTAGCTGCTATTTGCACAACGTTTTGTCTGGCCTTTGGCTATTCTTGTCAATAGTGTGCGCTACAGCGTTCTCATTAGACCGAGACAGTAGATTCAGGATGGAAACCTTGAATGGGATGCTCTTCAACAGGCTAACTTGAGAACAGAAGCTTAGACCAATGTGACCTAGCCGGTCGGTAGAGCGTTATAACGAGGAAGCACTTGGCATCCCAGGCTGGCTATTTGCTCGGGAATCTGTACAAGAGTGGACGTTCATATATGAGTTGAAGAAATTGCAGCTATTCTTACCGGTTCTATTACATGGACTAGGGAGAATGATTTTGTTCTGATTAACACAATGTAAAGATACAGAGACGACTGGGTTCTACCTTGGCAAAATGTCTTTATACAATCTGTAGAATTCACGTAAAAGAATGTCTCATGACACAAACCGAAATGCACTCCACATAATTGCACTATTCCTTTTAGAAAGTGGTCAAATGAAACGTGGTATAATTACATGTTCTTAGCGAAGTACATATTCACGTACCCTTTTGGATTGAGTCCGTTGAGTCCGCCTGGGTTTCGAACCCACGCTGTCAGAGTCCTGTTCAAAACGCCAGCACACGGTCAGCGATCTAACCCCTCACTCACCCACTGAGGCTTCAACAGAAATGACTGGAAATGCGTCAACTAACGACATTTTTAGCGCGTGCATGTGTGTGTGTGTTTGTTCTTACCTTGAGTTAATCTTTTACGTCATGATTTATTCATATGTAAGAATCGGATTGCCCTTTAACTACTTGAGATAAGATATTCTCGGTTCCCGGTTCTGACTTTACCTAGAGTTAATCTTTTACGCCATGATCTATTGACATTGTAAGAATCAGATGTCCTTTAACTTCTAGAGTAGTTTAAATATTATAGTATTTGAAACAATTCATTTTAAGTATCACTGTTGTTAATGTTTGTTTACAGCTCGATCCAGGCCGAAACAAACCGCAATGGCAAAGGCAATGACAACGCTTCCAGAGGCAGACATGGACGTGGACACGTGACAACACACGTTCAAGCTGGGAGATATCTATGTCCTGTCCGGACTTAGCCTACACGTCTATAAAGCACATTCAGGTTATCAACAGGAGAGTGTGTGTTCGAATCCTAGATCAATGTGATATAACTGGACACTGTTACAAGTACGCTAAACCCAACTCTCAATGTCGGTATCTGCTGTGCCTTGGTTTGAATCCCAATTTCAACCTGAGTTTCCCCGGAACATCCACCACATGTACTGAAACACTGTTCCACCCACTTCATTCTCAAACATTCTCAGATCCGGGTTAGAATTGGTCTCCAGTAACTCATGCTTGTCGTAAGAGGCGACTAACGGGATCGGGTGGTCAGACTCGCTGACTAGGTTGACATATGTCAACATCCCAGTTGCATAGATCGATGCTCATGCTGTTGATCACTGGATTGTCTGGTCCAGACTGGATTATTTACAGCCAGCCGCCATATAGCTGGAATATTGCTGAGTGCGGCGTAAAACAACAAACCAAAGCAAACTAAAAAACGTTAGGACATCTAACCAAGTTCTGAGTTATTGCAAGAACGTTTTTTAGTTAAACGCCAAACAAGGTCTTCTTGATTTAGCACTCGTTAACATTCAGCTTGAAAAAACATCGAATTCTCACAAGAACTTTACAGCTCAATGAACGCTGATTACTTTGTTGACAACAGCACCTGGGCCCCGCATCCTCCAGGCGTCTGATTACTCCAGCAGATGGACGACAGATCATATGCCGCACATAAACCTACTGTAGCAAACAAACCATAACCCGAGAGATAAAAATGATGTGTAACAATATCCTTACATACACACACCAAACATAATGATCTGTACATCGATTATTTGACCAAAATAGCTGACCAGGCATCCTGGAGGTTGAATATCGGAAAGGACAAAAAACGGTGTGCTGTTCAACGGACAAATGGAAGATGCACTATTAAGGATAGTTCCAGATCATGGTGACGCCGATGTAAAAGCTAAGCTTTTGTTTGTTACGGAAGTCTTCGTCGATGGTGATGGTGATGGTGATGGCGATGGTGATGGTGATGGTGATGGTGATGGTGATGGCGATGGTGATGATGGGCAAAGTTGGTTCCTTGTCCGTTGCCAAAGGATGGGATATAGCTCTTGGATATGCCTGTACATTTGGATGTCATATCGCTGCATTCATTGAATATATCGTGATTGATTTGACACAGCATGTAAATCTGTTATTTAATGTATTCATGCTTGAAAGATACAGTGGTGATGTACATTCGATATATTATGTATTGAATACATTTAATACACTGTGATGTACATTCAAAAATACTGCATACATTTAATGTATAGTAATTATGCATATTCCTTATATCAAGTACTGCATACATTTAATATATAGTTATGTACATTCAATATATCAGATATTACATGCTTAATATATAGTGATAATTTAATATAAAGTGATGTATATATCAAGATATATTTCCTACGTAAATTTGATATATAGTGGTGTACGTTCGATGTAAAGTATTGCATAGTGAATGAATGAATGAAATGTCTTTATTTCCTCCAATAATGTCGGAGAGTACAATGAATTATTACATGAATACAAAATACATGATTATGTACAAATCATATTACAATGGGAGAGAAAGTTAAGCATATGTATATATAATACACTGGGGCGTCACTGAATGGAATACGAATCATAGGTAGATCCTGCTCTGTAGGTTCCACGAACCAATGTTTCTGGCTACAATGTCAATGAACAGGGCCCACATGTGGATGTCCATGTTGTCCACGATAGGGGTGATGCCGCCAAGTAGAGTGCTAACTCTCGTGTCATCAGAGCTACTCTCCAGATTGATGTATGTCTCTAGTGGCAAAATATCGAACACTCGTTCATACATGTTATTTCTTTGGCTAAACAGTTCATGGCAGCACAACAACTGGTGCTGCACAATATCATCTGTCTCCTCACGACATATAAGACAGAGTCCAGCACTGACCGGTAGTATCCCCAGCTTCACCAGGGTCTACACAGGCCTACAGTACAGGTCAAACAGTCAGCACATGTTCCACAGTCTATGGTGAGGTGAGGTGAAATTGGGTTTAACGTCGTGCTTGAGAATATTTCGCTCATATGACGACGTGCATACGTGTGTAATTGTATGTGCGGCTGCTTGTACTAGCCCAGACTTAAGCTGTTTTTATAGTGCTAGCCCACTGAGATACCATGCCACAATGAAGCATGAATACCCCACTCAGACACATTATACTGACTCCGAGCCGACCAGTCCTTGTTGTACTCATTAATGCCGAGCGCCAGGCAGGGACCAACAAGTACCATATTTTAACGTCTTTGGTATGACGCGGTCGGGGGTCTTTTGGTATGACGCGGCCGGGGATCGAACCCGCGACCTTCCGCTCTCCGGGCGGACGCTCTAACCACTACACCACGGAAGCGGCTCCACGGTCTATGGGACGAGAGGCCCGTGTGTATAGCAGTAAACCGTTGTAAGTCGGGCCGCATTGATAACTGCTGTCTATACATGTCTCTGAACTTGTCCTCCACCCAATTATGTACTGTTATATTGATGCATTTGTATCGACTTATGGACTTAGTCAGTTTTCGATTACAATTGTTAATTACATCACATTCTTCACAAACGTCGCCTATATAGAATAAAGAAGTTGTATATCCATAAAAATAGTCCTCATTTTACATTCTTCGTTGTGTGTTAGCTTCACACCTATAGTTCGCTTACTTTAAGTTTCAGCTTCGGAGTCAGCATGTAATAGTTGATATATATTTTGTGTATCACGCATTATAATAGATTTGAGTTATCATGTCCAAGTTGACGTACTGTCACGGAGCTCTTGAGACCAGGGTGTAAATATAGTAATTCCGGAAAATGAGATAAAGCTTCGCAAGTGTTTTATTAGCAGGTAACAGTATCTAAAGACAAGCACTCCAAGGAATCAAAGGCCCATGGTTTGGTACCTGATCTCTTGTCGCAGATCAGGCGTTCTTCTACGGGAGCACAGCCCTTCTGACATTTTGGGTAATGCAAAAGTCTGCAGTGTTGGAGAGTCTCCATATTACCCGGATAGTTCTCGGTGGCTTATGGTAGCGCCTTTCCAGGGAGAAGTCAAATTCGCTGTCTGGGTTGCGTGTAGAGCGGGCAAGGACCCTGAGCTGACGACGAGCCTTACAAGCTTGACTTTGCCAGGATCACCCGAACCCTCTCTGTTGCACTAATTTCTTTTAATATGTAAATTAATTAAATAATAATGATATGTATTGTGAATGAATATGGTTTTACACCGCTTTTAGCAATATTCCAGCAATATTACGGCTGGGGACACCATTCATTTGGGCTTCGCACATTGTACCCATGTGGAGAATCGAAACCGGATCTTCAGCGTGACGGACGGACGCTTTTATCAATTAGGCTAAAACACCGCCCTGATATGTGTGTTGTTAGTAAAGGTGAACAGGTGTTTCTTATTAAAGTGTATATGTGTTTGTTATTTACAATATATAGGTGTTAAATATAAGTGTATATTGCTATCAGACAAGACCGAAAGGTGGGCGTGGCACACCTTATCAGTCCACGTGGTTGCTGTAATCAATCATGAATAAAACATACAAGAAGACATTGTTAAAGAATATAGTGATTTATTCAGAAATAATGGGGTTCTGTTGATACCATTCTATTCAGTTTATTTAACACACAAAATATAATGAACAACAAACAATTTCAGATAAGTGACCTTGTCTTAAGGAATGCTTTCTACACTAAAGCTGTGACATGTCAAATAGACTCCATTAAAGGAAACCTCGCGAAGGTGACCTTGGCCGTGGTGCTGACAATGACAGTGGTACATCATTTCACAAAACCAGTTGGAATATCAGAGATTATTTGACTTCAAATGTAAAAGTCATATATTTCTGGGAGTCACGATAAACATATTATTTGACAAGAAAAGAATGCTATACTATTTAAGAATACGTATTAGCCTATTAGTCGGAAAACCGTACAACTAAGCATTGAAAGTAGTGACATTTCACCAGATGAAGATAGTTTCACAAATGAGTGAGTGAGCGAGTTTATTTTTACGCCGCTTTTAGCAATATTCCAGCAATATCACGACAGGGGACACCAGAAATGGGCTTCACACATTGTACCCATGTTGGGAATCGAACCCGGGTCTTCGGCGTGACGAGCGAACGCTTTAACCACTAGACTACCCGACCACCCCACAAATGAGTGAGACAGTAACTACACATTGGTTGTTATTGTAATAATGATGATTAGCTATATGCCCACTCACTTCCTATTGTTAGTTCCAAGATTTATCAATACTAATAGAATGGATGTATTCGTGGCCCCAAGTTCCAGCTCATTATATATTCTACTTTACTGTTAGTTTTCTGCATGTATTTAAATAACCATTTAAGTTTCATCGATGAAATTAACCAGCATATCCGATTATCATGTTAAATGTGAAAATTAATTAACGTTCCATAGAACATGATATTTAACAACAACATTAATAACTGCAACGACAACAACTGCAGCAGCAACAACAACAGACTATCTCAGCCAATACATTGGACGAAAACAGTGTGTGCGGCCGTCATACGCGAACAAAGCGTTTTCAATTGCCTTAGCCAAATGTTCAATAACAATGAACGACACGTGTGCAACACAAGACCTGTCCAGATGAGCTAGACGTGTTACGATTTTAGTGCATTTCGAAAACAAAAAATATCTAGATTCAGAAAAGCCGAACATTCAATGAGGAACATTATCATATCTGATCAAAACATTTCACTACATAAGTATTTAGTTTTGGTGCCAATAGTTTGCTTCTTTTAAAATTAATTTTTCAACGAGGGTCCTTCAAGAGGGTGTGAAACTACTTGATAATATCACCCAGACGAGTAGATAATCAATACCAAACTCAATCGATAACTAACATAAATCAAATCTACACAAACCATTAACACACTGATTCTCTGGCTGGTACTCAGCATGCTCTGAAGTCTAAACCGATTGTTTCTGAGTTTGTATTCAAGAACAAGAACAAGATTTATATTCAAATAATTATCAAAAAGGAATCGATAATTTTGTCTTTCCGTGTATGACGTCGTTTGTTTTTAACTCTTGGCACTGGATATAATTTGAAACACATTGGCATTTTTCTGATTTTTTTATTGAGACAAAACTATCGACAGGATATTGCGATACATCAGTGCTTAAATAACAACACTCGGCACTGTCTTATTGCACTTCTTAAGAGGAAATTTGAGTGAACATACTCTTCTACCCATTGTCTTAGATGTATGTTGAAAATGTTTTGAATTGTCTGTTTAAGACGCAAAAATTGGACTATTTATGGCGTGGTAAACTATATCTAAACTTTACTGGGTTTACATTTGAAACAAACCACACCACGTGTTAATAACCAGGCACGTATATAACTGTTATCAAATATGTTTTTAATAAGTATCAAACATTTATTTATCAGAAATATTTTCAGACGTGTTTAGAAATGGTATCAAACGTCTTCATATCTATTTTCAGACGTGTTTAGAAATGGTATCAAACGTCTTCATATCTATTTTCAGATGTGTTTAGAAATATTTTCGGACGTGTTTAGAAATAGTATCAAACGTCTTCATATCTATTTTTAGACGTGTTTAGAAATATTTTCAGACGTGTTTAGAAATAGTATCAAACGTCTTCATATCTATTTTCAGACGTGTTTAGAAATGGTATCAAACGTCTTCATATATATTTTCAGACGTGTTTAGAAATATTTTCAGACGTGTTTAGAAATAGTATCAAACGTCTTCATATCTATTTTCAGACGTTTATATAAATATTATCACACTGGGAGTAGACACATCAAGAGGCTTAAAATGAATCCTGGTCAAGTTTAACCGAAGTCAATCCATACGATCTCTTCTCTCCAAGTAGGAAACCGGTTCCAGTTGAGACGCAGACATCCGGGTCACAACCACATAAGGGAACAGCCTTTCTCATCTCTGATGGTGATCGAGTCCATCAGATATCGCTGAAATAGGAACAGCAGCTTAAGTCAGTCAGCAGTCCCGGACACAAATCGGGCAACCTGGTTCCTTTGAGACAGTTTGTCGGTTGACTAGGATGAATCGGAATTCTAATTTTTCAAACTGAAACCGGATGCAGTCCACCGCCAACACAAACCAGTTTGTATCAGTTTTCACACCGGAAACAGCCACAGTTGCGCAGATCCTTGATCGTCGTTGTCGGATGGAGATGGGGCATGAGATTGCCGTCCTCGCCGTAACATTCCTGCATCACGATGCGTCTCTGTGCTTGTTCTCCCTCGCGACAACAACGGCAGTCCTGGAGAAATGAGTCAGTATATATGTCAGTAAATGAGTGAGCGAGTGAGTGAGTGAGTTGAGTTTTGCAATATATCAGCTATAACACAGGGTATGGGTCAGGCTCGCTGATGCATATCATCGTATTATAATTGCGTTGATCGATGCTCATGATTATTATTTTATATTATTTATTATAGGATATTTATATAGCGCACATATCCAGGCAACTAGTGCATGCTCAAGGCGCTGGTATTTTTTTTGTATTTTTTCCCCCGATGCTCATGATGTCAAACACTAGATTATCTGGTCCAAACTCGATCAGTATCAGTGTATGAAATAAGCCAAAAATCCAGCCAGACATCAGGGCTGGTAACTTCAAAATGTTACCAGCCCAAAATGGATTTAACCAGACCAAATATGGTGAATTTACTCAGATGTATGGAACATCTAAATGTTTTACCAGACCATCGGGCTGGCTAGCTGTAAATTTAGACCGTCCGTCAGAAATCTAGACCGTCTCGGGCGGTCGGACGGGCCTTATTTCATGCACTGTCAGTATACAGACCAACATCATATAGCGGATTATTGCTGAGTCCGGCGTTGAACAGTCAGGGGCGTAGCTACCATTATTAAAAAAGCCCGGGCTTACACACGATTGCTGCTAAAAATGTTGTGAAGCCCACAATACTATCTAAATATATATATATAGCTATTGCATACAAAGAAAAACTGGCTTGCTACGCGTCTGACAGTAAGCAGCCTTTTAGCATGACGAGTGAACACTTTAACTACTAGGCTAACAAGAGTGACTGTATTTTACTTGACGTGGCTTATGAAAACATTTCACTGGGTGGGGGCACTGTTGGGGCTCTGGAGACTGGGCCGTCCAAGGAACCACAATTTGCGGCGAGTCCGTTGGGCACGCCAGAAACCTATCGTCATGGGTTCGAATCCCGTTTTGCCCAATCATGGTTCTAAGTTTGCCAGCACCGCTCGACAAACGGTACGCCCAGTGGACCCAACTCTGCAAGCTTAAATACAGCATCCTATACAAGTGTTATCGAATACCGCATGCATACCTTCTTGAAGGGGTAGTGATGTACGCTTGGAGACAAGACTGATTCACAGACGCCCTCACATTTGTTCACCGTTAACCTGGCAACGCAGCTGACCGGTAACCTCTGACCGTTAACCTCGGCTACAATGTTCTTTACAATATCAACTTCCGTGGACAGTGTTTGGCAGTTGTCTTGCCAGTATGTTGGCCGAACGGTGGCCACAACAGTGGTGAAGATGGCAGCAAAGAGGACGTGCAGGACCGCCACCTCGCGTGGCCCGATCGCCATTCTGCAACACAGGACATGAACATGGATAATCTATACACATGGAAATAAGTATCGCAACATCCAATATTGTCATAGTATGACTATTATGCCATGAACAATTTAATGTATTATCTGGATGAAGTGATCATCAAGGAATACTTAAATGGCAAATCTAATCTAAACGCAAAATGAACGAAACGAGGTAGTTTGTTCAGAGAAGCAAACATGGCAAAACATTGACTCATTTTATAGTGCTGATAACTGTGGTCGTATGACGTTAAGTGTCAACAACCGAGCGCCAATGTCAATATCTGGTGTAACTTCTTCCAACTGCAAGAATAGGTCTTCAGCAACCCATTCTTGTCACAAAAGGCGACTATGCTTGTCGTAAAAGGCGACTAACGGGATCGGGTGGTCAGGCTCGCTGACTTGGTTGACACATGTCATCGGTTCCCAATTGCTCAGATCGATGCTCATGCTGTTGATTACTGGATTGTGTGGTCCAGACTCGATTATTTACAGACCGCCGCCATATAGCTGGAATATTGCTGAGTGCGGCGTAAAACTAAACTCACTTACTCACTCTTTCAACTGCCAAAAGATCCCTGATTCCCTCCATTGATTGTTTGGAAGGTTGGCGATTTCGTACTGGAGGATCTCTCTGCTGTTTGGGATTGAGATATGTACTCCTGACAGGCCAAGGTAAAGTTGCTCTTGACGTTAGAAATCACCAACATGAAATCACCACGTGCATGAAGACTGTCGTCCATGAAGACTGCCATGTGTTTAGAGGATGGTCATCGAAATGTGGTACAACAACCCGGTCTAGGATGTCAGTGATGTACCGTTGCATATTCAGGTTTTGTCAGATCGTCACAAGGTCATGTTAAAAGTCAGAGGCACCCTCACACGATCAATGAACCCCTGCCAAGGAGTACTTGCTACGAGACAATCTTTTGAGTAAATGCAGTGTGTCTGCGGCGACAAACACCAGCTCGGATATCACTCGTGAACAAAAGAAATCGACTTTTGCCCGACCAAAGGACCCTTCCCTATGACGTCAAATTCCAGTGACGTCGAGCTTGGTGTTGTGTTAAGTGTTGCTTTGTGCTGTGAGGATAATAACGGACGTCTAATACCGTCTGGCTCGTGGAAGCGTCTCTGTTTTAACAAGCCACGTGATAGGAACGGATGAAGTTTTGTGAGTCTGACAAGGGATGATTCCTCCATAGGGGTTGTCAACCGTGGTAGAACTGAACGCTGACGTCATTAGTTTCCTGATTTGTTTCTGGCCAATCAGCTGATAGTCGATTGATGATAACCATCTTCTACTACAACAGTCCTCAATGACATGCTAGCATTCCGTGTCCCAATAACCGTACTTCTTGGAGCAGTTGCCATATGAGGAGCCCTCATAGTTGCTTCTGATAGGTGATTTAGGTATCCGAAAATTCGTATACCTGAACATTATTTGGAAAAAAGCAAACGTTCGGATACACGAAGTACTACTGGATATCTGTTTCTGCTTCAAGTCAGACCATTTGAGTTTTAGTAGTGGATTTTAAAAAAAAATAGAATTAAGTGATCCAAAGCTTTGGAAAACAAAATCTGGAGAGTATCTAATCTCTGCATAACCCCCTCCATCCCTCGCCAGTGAATGGTCAAATGGTCATTTTTTAACACATCTGGTTTCTGGTAAAGATATCGCTTATATGTAGCTGGACATCTAACGATGTTAATATAACATTAAGCAGCCAAGGCACACGTTTCTGTGAATATTTATTAATAAGGGAAAATACCAATTATATACGATTGGACATGATCACGATTAATTCCGCATGTGTCGTCCAAGGTAGCAGATTTACAGACGGGGCCGATTCATATGATTGTCTTTTATTACATTGGAAACAGAAAAGCAAAATATTGCTGCTGGTGTAACTTAATTAGCGCAGGATCTGGGCAGTTCACACGTCAGACTGATTGTTGGACAGGTTTTTCTTTGCCATTCCTCTTGACTAAATGTGCAGCTGTTAATTACTGTTAACAGCAAAGAAGTTGGTGAAAAGAAAACGTTTATGTAAATAACATGATGCAAATAAGATAATGACGCAAATAAAATGATGCAAAGATGCTGCACAGAAGACAATGATACAAAGATGCTGCACATAAGACAATGATGCAAAGATGCTGCACATAAGACAATGATGCAAAGATGCTGCACAGAAGACAATGATACAAAGATGCTGCACAGAAGACAATGATGCAAAGATGCTGCACAGAAGACAATGATGCAAAGATGCTGCACACAAGGCAATGATACAAAGATGCTGCACAGAAGACAATGATACAAAGATGCTGCACAGAAGACAATGATACAAAGACGCTGCACCTAAGACAATGATACTAAGATGCTGCACCTAAGACAATGATAAAAAGATGCTGCACAGAAGACAATGATACAAAGATAATGATTGAAACATGATGCAAAGATGAAATGACGCAAAGATGACCGAACGAAGAACATTTTACACAGTTGATGCAAAGAAGAACATGATACAAAGGTGATGCAAGAATATAACGATACAAAAATGATGCAAAGATGATGCAAAGATGACGCAGAGAAGAACGTGATACAAAGATGACGCAGGGAAGAACATGATACAAAGATGATGCCAAGAAGAACATGATACAAAGATGATGATGCAAAGAAGACATTGACGCAAAAAAAAGATGCTGGAAAAATGACGCAAAGGGTGCGAACAAGAAAAAGTAGAGGAAGAAGAAGAAGAATCACTTGAACGAGTTGTCAAATGACTAATGCCAGTGAACAGTTAGAGACAAGTCAATATATAATCGATTTCGGGTTTGATCGGAGGCTTGTTGGCCAGGAGCCCCAAATCTCGCCTACAGATGGTTGTTATAATTGGAACCACTTGCCCGACGTGTACAAGGGTAATTTGGTCGCATTTACGATACGTTAAGTTGGCAATCCGTTAATCCGTACGATTTCACCCAAACGATACCGTACAAATTAATAGGGTTCTACAGAATTACAGTCCCTTAACAAAAGCAAATGTGTTTCGCTAGAAAATAGAGGATACGAATGACTCAAGTGTTACAGATAAAATGTGTTTCAGGCAATGCCCATTTACGTAATTACAGGTCAGGACAAGATTTACAAAAACATTAGAACAAACGGCGAATTAATTTTTCTAAAATTAAACAGATGACATTCATAGATATAGTATACTAGCAGTCTCTGCACTCTTCAAAGAGAGAGGGGCAGTGGGGTAGCCTAGTGGTTAAAGCGTCCTCTCGTCACGCCTAAGGCCAGGTTTTGATTCCCCACATGGGTACAATGTGTGAAGCCCATTTCTGGTGGCCCCCGACATGATATTGCTGAAATATTGTAAAAGCGGCGTAAAACCATACTCACTCAAACAAACGGGGGAAACATTTGTTACACCATCCATTGTTTATATTCAGCCATAGCACACAAAGCAACAAAACTCTTTCTATAGTCTTACTATAACAAATCTCTCTGTTAAAAGCAGAACCTATTGTACGATTCCGGATATATGATGAGTATGTGTTTATGAATCACTATCAAACACTGATGACACCAGGTGTTGGTGAAAAGGTGGCTGTGGCAGCAGTCACAAATACACGCAAAGGCAAGTTAATAAAATAGACATACGATATTCGGATGCATAACACAAAAAGTATTTTCGATTCTACTTATACCAATGTTAGACAGAAGGGCACCCCCCCCCCCCTCCACCAGTAAAAAAAAAGCAAAAAAGGCAAAACCAAACAATAACAGCGACAATAACATCAAAACAAAACAACAACAACAACTCCATAAAAGAAACAGAGACATTACAATAAACAAAGTTAAACAGCGTGGCCTTACGTTGTAGATCTTAAATCTTCTATGCAGTAGCAAACAACTCGTCTTCGGTTAAGTCAGTAGTATGTGGAAATACTAATCACTCACAGTCCGTATACCGTTATGATGTGTGATCTTTGTTACGTAACGGTAAATACAATCCAAATCATTTCCTGGCATCTGGTTGGCTAACCAAGCTTGTTTGCCGCACGTCCGTTCCATAATTAACAACAGCCACGCCCACTAACAGATCCCGAGCTGATAATAGGGTGTGCGGGACTTAACAGACCTCCAGGTGATAGTGGGTGGGCGGGGCTTGGGTGGTATTATTCAGCTTAATGATGTCACAGGTATCATATTGATTTTCATGTTGATCATTAAAAACACCACGAAGTTATTGTTGTTGGCGGTAACTTTAGATCAAAAGAAAGTATAATCTTATCAAAACGTTAGTGGGATTACGTGTTTTGAGAAACCCAAATTTATCGACTCTCCGTATGAAATACATTACCATTGAATAACGTCATGTTTGTTTCATATTAAGACTCAATAAACATGGGAGTATACTTTCTGTTGCCCGACAATGTGTTTATGGAGGTATGGAAGTAAAATCCGATGAGAACACCGTTTTACGCTGATCTACACACAAACACACACGCATACACGCACGCACGCACGCACGCACAATTGCTTCATTTACAGGCCCAAAAGACTGATCTGCCATTTGTGGGCTTGGCAGATGGGCATCATCAACGCCGACTACAACGCAAGGGACATACGCGGACTCCTATTCCAACATACGTTCTGGTGGCGATGGTGATGATGGTGGTGATGATGGTGAGGGTGGTGGTGATGATGGTGATGGTGGTGGTGATGGTGGTGGTGATGATGGTGGTGATGGTGGTGGTGGTGGTGGTGGGGATGGTGGTGGTGATGGTGATGGTGATGGTGGTGATGGTGGTGGTGATGATAGTGATGATGGTGGTGATAGTGGTGATGATGGTGGTGATGGTGATGGAGGTGGTGATGGTGAGTGATGGTGATGGTGATGGTGATGGTGGTGGTGGTGGTGATGGTGGTGATGATGGTGATGATGGTGATGGTGGTGGTGATGGTGGTGGTGATGGGTGATGATGATGGTGATGATGATGGTGGTGATGATGGTGGTGGTGGTGATGATGGTGGTGATGGTGGTGGTGATGGTGATGGTGGTGATGGTGATGTGGTATGACGATGGTGTGATGTTGATAGTGATGGTGGTGATGATGGTGATGGTGGTGATGATGATGGTGATGTGGTATGACGATGGCGTGATGTTGATAGTGATGGTGGTGATGGTGATGGTGATGGTGATGGTGGTGGTAGTGGTGATGGTGATATTCTTGGTGATGGTGATGGTGGTGATGATGGTGATTGTGGTGATGGTGATGGTGGTGGTGATGGTGGTGATGATGGTGGTGATTGTGGTGGTGTGGTGATGGTGGTATTCTTGGTGATGGTGATGGTGGTGATGATGTTGATAGTGATGGTGGTGATGGTGGTGGTGATTGTGGTGGTAGTGATGATGATGGTGATGTGGTATGACGATGGCGTGATGTTGATAGTGATGGTGGTGATGGTGGTGGTGATGGTAATGATGGTGGTAATGGTGATGGTGGTGATGGTGGTGGTAGTGGTGATGGTGGTATTCTTGGTGATGGTGATGCTGGTGATGCTGGTGATGGTGATGGTGGTGATGGTGGTGGTAGTGGTGATGGTGGTATTCTTGGTGATGGTGATGGTGGTGATGATGGTGATGGTGATGGTGGTGATGGTGGTGGTAGTGGTGATGGTGGTATTCTTGGTGATGGTGATGCTGGTGATGGTGGTGGTGATGGTGATGATGGTGATGAT